GTGAATCCTCTCACCCTCGGCATCTCTGGCCTGTATCCCAGTTCTGTATGCACAAATAAATAAATCTTTAAACAAACAAACAAAAAGTTGGTTTTACTTCATTTTCATTAATTTCTCTCCTTTGCTAGCTGATTGAGGAAAAATAGTTTCTCAGCTAAAGTTAAATCTCAGAAAGTCTTTCAGGAGTAATTTGAGAACCAAAAATGAATAATGATGTAAAATATATATAGAAATAAATGGAAAAAAAAAGTAATTTGAGGAGTATAGTCATCTTTCACTATAAAGCTTGGTTAAAAAAAAACCTTAGAATACTAACATGCTCTTTTCTGATTGTTGTGGTTATATTCATACATAAAAATATAAATTTTTTTAAGACAAAAATTTTTTAAAGTAATATAATAGTTTATTTAAAAAAAATATTTATTTATGCATACAGAACTGGGGTACAGGCCAGAGGTGCAGGGGGGCGTTGAGAAGATTCACCAGAGACAGAGTGGGGAGCAGAATAGGCTGACAACGAAGTACACTACTGAGGGGAGAAGCAGGCGGGTCAGGAGAGGTCGCTGAGCTGTGTGGGTCACCTCTGGGGTACGGGATCGAACTCATGCTGAAGTGGCTTAAGATTCTTAGTGCTGTGCTTTAATCCACTGAGCCACCAGGGAGGGCCCCATAATAGTTTTGCATCATTTTGTGCATTTTTCCATCTCAGTTGTAATCCCTGTGAGCTTCACCATATCACCCATGTGCCATCACCATAGTCCAGTGCACTTCCCCCACCCCCATTTTTATCCCATTCCTTATTCCACACCCATAAAATATCTCTGGTATATAGTTGTCCATTATTATTATTATTTTCTCCCCTGTTCCTTTATACTCCTGCTATGAGTGAAACCATCTGGTATTTTTCCTTTTCTTTCTGGCTTATTTCACCAAGCCTGATACCTTCCAGATCCATCCATGTTGCTGCAAAAGGCATGTGGTTTTTTTTTTTTTTGATTGCTAAGTAATATTCCATTGTATATATGTACCATATCTTTTTGATCCAGTCATCCACTTTTGGGCATTTGGGCTGTTTCCATGTCTTTCCAATCGTGAATAAAGCAGCAATAAACATGGGATTGCAGGTATCTTTTTGAATCAGTGTTTTGTGTCGTTTGGGTAGATACCTAGAAGTGGGATTGCTGGGTCATATGAAAGCTCCATGTTTAGCAGTTTGAGGATCCTCCAAACAGTTTTCCATAGTAGTTGTACTAGTTTGCATTCCCAACAGCAGTGCAGGAGAGTTCCTTTGTCTCCACATCCTCGCCAATATTGGTTGTTGCTAGTTTTTTTTTTTTAAAGATTTATTTATGTGTGCATACAGAACTGGGGTACAGGCCAGAGGCTCAGGGGCAGCGAGAAGCTTCACCAGAGACAGAGTGAGGAGCAGAACAGTGTACGAAGTACACTGCTGAGGGGAGCAGCGGGCGGGTCAGGAGAGGTCTGCCACGCCTTGTGGTCACCTCCAGGGCAGGCAGCAATTGAACTCATGCGGAAGTGGCTTTAGCTTCTCAATGCTGTGCTTTAACCCGCTGTGCCACCAGGGAGGGCCTGTTGCTAGTTGTTTGAAGATGTGCCATTCTCACTGGGGTGAGGTGGTATCTCATTGTGGTTTTAATTGGCATCTCCCTTATTACAAGTGATGTTGAACATTTTTTCATATGCTTGATGGCCATCTGCATTTCCTCTTTGGAGAAGTGTCTTAAAACAACAAATTTTTGTGGATCAGAAGTTCATGAGGACTTTAGTTAGATTGAACTCTCTCATGAGATTATAGTCACTGTTATACTCTGTTGTCATCCAAAGGCTTGAGTGGGAAGACCCACTTCAAACATATCTCACTCATGTGGCTGTTGGTAGAGGCCTTAATTCCTTGCTTTGTGTACTGCTTGTAGGAATGCCTCTGGCTTCTCCCAGTGATATTTTTTCTTTGACACATACATTTATACTCACATACACCCACTCACACACAGAAAGCTGTTTTTTTATAATCTAGTCCCTGTAAGTCACCATCAGTTTTACCATTTTCTGTTTATTAGAATTGAGTCACCAGGGCCTTCCCTGGGACACAGCAAGTTAAAACACAGCACTGTGAAGCTATCACAGTCACTGAAGCATGTGTTCAATCCCTAGCCAGGGAGGTGACCTACATGCTGTGGCAGACCTCTCCTGATCTGCCTGCTGCTTCCCTCAGCATTGTACTTCAATCATTCTGCCTGTTCTGCACTCCATCCTGTCTTTGGTGAATCCTTACACTCCCCAACCCCCGCATCTCTGGTCTGTACCTCAGTTCTTGTATGCATAAACAAATATATCTTTTTTAAAAAAAAGGAATG